CGTCAACCTTGACAAAAAATTCGGCATCCCATTTTGCAGCAGCAGTAGTAAAGAAAATTTTTGTTTTTGCCGATAATTCATGATATCCTTCAACATGCTCCTACAACATAACATAGTTGAGATTTTAAACCGTTAAGCTCGCACAGATCTCTTAAGGAAAGATGAAAGGATGTTTGCATGCTTTCTACCAGCCTGAGAAAGTCCTTATGTTGAGCTTCTTCAGAGTCAAGAGCTCGATCCAGTATGCTGTTAGATGTTGCGCTGGATCAATCAATAATGTTATCTCCCAGGTCAATTTCATATCACAAGATGATTGCCAACAAATTGCAAAGTACCAAAGATGACTCAATGAATTGGGGTCAATAATCTTTTAAAAAAGAAGGCAAGGAGCCAAGGATAGACGTATAATGGTCACAATTCACAAATCATTGTCACTATCATTAACAGAAATATATACGGATCCTCAACTGTAAGAGAATCTTCTGCACACAGCGTTGGACAAGACTTAAGAATACAATAGACAAGATTTTCACTTCTTTTTGTTCTTTCATAGTCCAATGCGATCAAGTCCACCTTAATAAACAAGCCATAAAAGTTTAGGAGAAAAGGAAATGTGCATCTGGACCTCAACTAAGAAGCATGCATTCAACTTGGTATGTCACATTTCAACAGAATACAAATCAGAAAAATATGGGTCTGGGTTTTCTTATTCATCCTCTTCCGGAAAAAAGAAAAGCAACGCAGTATTAGTTGAAGAAAAGAATGAAGTTCATATTAATAACACCTTAAATTTGATTAAATAACTCAAACACTCAGTAAACAGCAGCAAATCAACCCGGAAAAGATTTCAAGCATTGTTGTAAAGAGGCGCATTTCATAGATAATTGCATTACAACAGTTGAATCACGTGAGAACTGCAAAGAAATATACGAGTATCACCATCCTTAACATGAAATCAACTGTTACACATTTCATTCTAAAGCTAGATAAAAATGATATTACATTCTCTTGTGACTTCAGGCTCACGTAACTAACAATACTATTTGTGCATGTTTAGTAAGCAATATTAGGCACAACTCGATACTATAATGAACAAGTTCTATTTCTTTTTCTTCCATAATACGATTTAGTGTTATCCAATCTTCCTAACCTAACATACCCTTAAAGAAAGCAGAGTTCTAAAACAAAGCTTATGCAAGAGTGGTCTACCTGTGTCCAATCATAAACCGGACAACAATACCCTTCTCTTGCTCCAATCTCTGAAGTTGTTCCCCTGAGCAAATCACGCGAGGGGTTGGTTACTATTCTTATAAGTTAAAAGAAAAAAGAAAAAATCCTTCTTCAATTGGGATTACAACTAGGGATCACCTTGAGGCATCCAAGTTTCTCTAACCGAATCACGCCTCTTCCTACTACTGAAAGCCGTGTTGATTCCAATTACCATAAATGCTTTCTTCCTCGAAGCCCCCCCTTTAGAATTTACAGCCAAATTGTCAGTCCTCCCCTTCTCCTGAACACCCCTAGTGGCTGCCAACTCCATCTGAAGCATCGAAATTGACTTGTCCAGCGATCTGAATGTGCCTCCAAGTAAAATTCACCATATTTTCGCTTAAAATGCAAAATAACACTAAACAAAAGATAACATTTAAAACATATAATGTAATTACGGAGTTACGAACTCACTGAATTGCTTCATGGGTTTTGTACACCTCATTCATTACATTCTTATCTCGATCTCCTGCTTTCTATCCACGCCCAGAAACAAAACGATCTATCAAAATTTGCATCTTTAAAATTTTTAGTGAAGCTTTGACATATAAATGCGCATTTAGAAGACTGAATCTGTAAAACATGACTTCAAATTTACAGCTTTGTTACTTATTAAAACAGACCTTCTTCTTGGTATTGCAATCCTCAGACACGATCTGCAGCTCTTGTTCACGTCTATGCTGAGCTATGAGCTGATTGTTAGATTCCAATGATGGAGCCCACAATCTGTAAAACCCAGATCAAACATATAATCATCTCAAAATCCCGCTAATTAAGAATTTAACAAATAAAACAAACAAAGAAAATTGAAATTATTGAACTATACATACTTGTTGGTGAAGAGCATTCCAAGAAAGAAGAAACATATGGAGAAAATTGGGACCCATTTTGCAGACACTTTTCCATAGCTTCTAATCTTCATGATTTCCCTCCCTTCTCCTTCAATGTGTATTGTACAGTAGAAAAAGAGAGAAACGGGAAACGGTGAGATGGTGGAGCTGGAATATGAATTTTTATTTACCTTTTTCCCCCTTTCTTGACTTGGACTTGGGAACCGTCAAAGGATTATATTCGCATGTTTAGCAAATTTAGGTACGTGTCGTAATCTCCTTGGCCACTACCTTGACATCCACACTTCATAAGGAGTAACAAGTCAATAATGCCATTTAGAAGCTAATAATTGAATGAATAAATTCACTTGAATGCAATTTTGGACTAAATTTTTATAATAAAATAATAATCTTCTTCTTTATTTTGTTTTTTATTTACATTAATTCAGAGATTGCTAGAGCAATTTGAGGACTTGATGCAAATTTGTTGAAGTTTTTATGGAGAATAATTATAAAATTTACTAAAGCAAATAATTACTGGAATATAATATGTCAATGATTCGAATATCATCAGTGATCGCCGATGCACCCAGTTAACTGTTATCAATGACAACATCGTCGACATAATTCGTCAGTGTTGCTGATGAAGTTTTATTTATTTTATATATATTTTTAATTGTTTATACATTTATAGGGACGTATAAGTCATTTCGCTATAAAATGATGGCTACAAGTTGTTTTTTTCAATAATTGCGACTGAAATTTCATAGTCAACATATGCAGCTTCTCCCCCTCCATTCACGATTTCAAAATTCATTAAAATTAGAATAAAAGCGCCACCAAATAGGCTCTTGATTATAATGAGATAAATTATTCTTTACTTATTATTTTATTCTCAATGGAATCTAATTTAAAAAATTCCAAACATATTTGAGTACCTAAAATTTACTTTTTCGATTACGAGTCTTTATTCTTATTTTCGGCCTATAACTTCGACCAGTAAATTGTAAAATAGTCATTAAATTTAAACATTTAAAAAAAAAAACCTAAAACTTGTACAAATTTCGATAAGTTTACACAAAATATCAAATCAAATAGATAAATTTGGACATCTTAATATTCAAAATGAAAACGACACTCAATAGGTGGCAAAAAATTTAAATAGACAAGAAACATATAATTGGACCAAATAATAAAATAAATATTATGCTATGACGCAAGTAATCAGAATATATTAATATATAATTATTTGATAAGATTGATTAATATTAGGAATGCATTTATTGGACTTAAAAATTACTTTTCAAATTGTATTACTTATAAGAAAATATTAATTGAGAGAGAAGAAGAAAAATAAATAAATAAATAATGGCGGTGTGTTTATTTTATTTTTTATTTTTTTAATGTGAATTTAAAGGAAATTATTTGGATATCGTGTTTGCCCTAATTCTCCACGCCTTAGGGTTTCCTGTATCTCTATATATACACAAACAAACCCCTTACGCATTCACTTATTCCTCGACGACATCTCGGCGCATAAGCTTAACCTACTTTTCTCTCTTTCATTCCTTATATAATCTTCAACTCTTTTAAATCTGAGGTAATTCATCTAAGCCCTGGTTATTTTTTTTTTATTATTCTGTTGATATGATTTTTTGGTTGTGTTACGTTTTTCGGGGGTTGGAATTTGATGGGTTTTATGGGATGTGAATATATATAATGAACTTTATGTTTGACTGCGTGGGTTGAGTCTTGAAATTGAGATCGATGGTTTAGATTAGAAACTTGAGCATGGGGATTGGGTGTTTTTGTTGGGTGAATTTGGGATTTGTTTGGTAACCTTGAGAAGTAATTATTTATGATGAATTTATTTATTTTTGACTACGCGATTGAGTCGTGAAATTGAGATTGAGTCCGGATTTATGTTATGTTGGATGATTGTGATAAGAAATTTAAAATTGAGATTGAGTCCGGATTTATGTTATGTTGGATGATTGTGATAAGAAATTTAAGTTAGTGATTGGATCTAGGGGGTTTGAATTAATTTGGTTTGGAGCTCGTCTGAAGTGAATCGTTAATATTTGCATATTAAATATTGCCATAATGGTTCAACTTCATGAATGTTTAATTTCTGATCCTCTTTGAAATAAATATTAAGAAACTAAATTATATTGAACTGAGAATTATTAGTTTTTTTTTTTGCAGTTAGTGATTTAGCCATTGTAATTTTAATATCTTGAAGACTTGTGTAACAAATACTTGAAAGGTTTTACGGTAACTAGTTTTTTCTAGGATAGTCAAGAATTTGAAGATGGAAATACTTTATGCGATATTGATTTTGAGATGGTGAAAAATTCGCTGCTGATGGTTTGATGTTGGGGATGCTTATTTTTACTGTGTACTTTTATATTTGAGGTTTGTGTCTGTGATGGTACATTGCCTTAGTATGTTAAGGTACAAAGTCAATTGAAGCTCCATAATAAACAAGTATGATATTTGATTGATGTCATGGTGAGTTGGTAACAATATGATTTTGCTTCAAAAGTTTGTTTGAGACTTGCATGACTCGAAATATGAGGCTGAATGACATTCTTAATGAATCTAATGTTAAATTGCCTGCTTGTATAGTCTCTTTTGATGAGACGATATAAGTTGTTTTGATTATTTCTTGTGAACGAGTATTTTTGTGAAAGAGAAAAGATATGAACGTGATTTGGATTTTGTATGCATGGGGAGTTTTTGGCAGTGTTTTTCATTATCAAAATTACATTTATATTTGGTTCTAAACAAATATATTGAGTTGAAAAACTGGGCTCATTTTATTGTAACGTTAAAAATCATTGATGAGTTGCTTACATTGTAGGTGTGAGTGTTTATGTTCTTTTTTATATAATAACTCAAATGTATGATTGCAGGTATTTAGCTGCTAAAGTTGCGGCATTTGCAGCAATCAAAGTGGAGTGCATTAAGTTCGAAGCTTCTTTTATGTCTGAACGGGCCTCTCAGTTTTTATTGGTAATTGGGTTGCTTGGAGAGTACTGTCCTCCATCAAAATATAAGTATATTCATTCTGCTCACAGACTTGGCTGCATGCACCTTGAGCTCCAAGGGTACAACATACATTTTCAGGGTTGCCAATTTATGCGTCCTTTTTCTCCTGGTAGTAACATTCATCATACTGAAGAAGTACTTGTTGAAGAAGAACAGCTGCTTCCATTTTGATCAACTTGATATAGATCACTTCCCTTTTCAAGGACAAAATGGCTTTGCAAAATATTGGTGCTGGAAACAAGGATGATGCCTTTTACAGGTATAAGATGCCTAAAATGATAACAAAAATTGAGGGTCGTGGAAATGGCATCAAGACCAATTTGGTCAACATGGTTGACATTGCAAAGGCCCTGGGAAGGCCAGCTGCTTACACAACAAAGTATTTTGGCAATGAACTTGGAGCTCAATCCAAGTTTGATGAGAAAACTGGAACTTCCCATGTGAATGGAGCCCATGACACTTCAAAACTTGCTGCACTTCTTGAGAACTTCATCAAGAAGTATGTCCAGTGTTATGGTTGTGGGAATCCTGAAACTGAAATCATCATCTCAAAATCACAAATGATCAATCTAAAATGTGCTGCCTGTGGTTTCATTTCAGATGTTGACATGAGGGACAAGCTCACGACATTCATTCTTAAGAACCCTCCTGAGGCAAAGAAAGGTTCGAAGGACAAAAAGGCAATGAGGAGGGCTGAGAAAGAGCGGCTAAAGGAAGGAGAAGCAGTTGATGAGGAGCAGAAGAAACTTAAGAAAGATGCTACCAAGAAGAAAGGTGTTTCTGGAGGTTCAAAGGATTCCACCAAAGCATCTAGCAAGAAGAAAGCCAATATTTCTGATGAGCAGCATTCTCCAACTGGTAGCCAGGCCGATGAGAATGAAGAGGGAGCTGCTGAGGACTCTGACGATGATGTCCAGTGGCAGACTGACACGTCTGCTGAGGCAGCTCGACAAAGTATTTTAGAGCAGCTGAATTCTGTCACAGCTAGCATGGTCATGATCTCAACCAACGAAGACAAGCCAAAATCAGGTAAGAACTCCCCAGCACGTGAAGAAAAACCCAAGGTTAATGGGAACACTGTTAAATCTAGTAATGGTCATGCTGAACTCGTCGAGGAAATCAAGGAATTTCTGGATAAAGGTTCCTCTGCATCCCAGCTTAAGGTGTTCTTGGGTTCTCTCTCTGGTACTGATCAAGAGGTTGTTGATGCCTTATTTGAAGCCTTGTTTAATGGGTTCGGAAAAGGATTCTCTAAGGAGGTTGGTAAGAAAATGAAGTACCTTGCAGCTGCAGCTCAGGAGGAGGGCTCACAGCCAATTCTACTTCAGGCTATTGAGTCTTTCTGTGGAAAAGCAAGCCCTGAGGTAGTGAAGGAGGTGGGGTTGGTTCTGAAAGAGTTATATGATAATGATATGTTGGAAGAAGAGTTTATTGAGAAGTGGTATCAGAAGGGTTTGACTGGAAAAAATAAGGCCTCCCCTATCTGGAAGAATGTCAAGCCATTCGTGGAGTGGCTGCAGAGTGCTGAGTCTGAAACTGAAGAAGAGTGAGCAACTCCACACCGATGATTGCAAGGATTCTTTGTTTCTTTCACCCATCTAAGAACTTTTAAGCTTGGTTTGTGGTCAATTATGCTACTTTTCGATTAGGTCCAGGTTATTCGAGTCATTTCTACTGGCAGTATTCCAGACACTATTGTGTTTTCAGACTTGCTTGATGTTTAGTCTTGAAATAAGTAGGGACGAAATATCAGGTAGGATTTGTTGCCTGCTGTTTTTTCCTCGTGTCTTTGTTGGTCTGTTATCATTGTCTTTATGGATTTTCTATACACGTTGGGCTTGTTTTGATTAGTTGTTCTTTTTACTTTTCCATCCTTTTATTGACATGTTTGGTATATCAGTAATCTATTGGTTGAAATATTTATGGTTTGTTTGAGCCCATTTTTCGGAGGATAGATTTTGTAATAATATTTTTTTGGAGAATGAGTTGTTAAAAGTACAGAAAAGTTTTGAATTTATATGAGTTGTCAAAATTTATATAATTGATTTCATAAGTATAACGCCAAACGACATTCTATTATTTGTCAATTTAAAATATTATAAACTCTTTCATCCAATTTTTTCTCTACGCAGTATTTTCGATAATCGTTTATGTACATTTTTCATGTACAAGTAGTAAAATTTAAAATTATTTCATTGGAAGAATGTAATTGAAAATATGTTTTTTTTTTTTTAAATGAGTTTTTAAAGAATAAGGTTGATTTAGTGGATAATACTTTTGGAAAGGTATTGTCTTCATATTTTCACATCTCCTCCAAATTGCTAGTCATAGTTATGAGAACCTGCACTCGTTTAGTGATGTGGCTGAATTATTGGGTGGGTTGCTTAGTAATTGGCCGCAAATCATGCCATCAAGTTTTGACAGTACTAGACAATACATATCATAATTCATAAGTTTTGTCAAGTACTTGAGACTTGACAGTATCAACTATTAATGAAGAAGAATATAAAATTCATTTTCGAGTATCGCGTGCCAAAGCTGTCACTTAAATAATAGGTTTCAAGAATAAAGGGGCTACGTGAAGGAAGGAGGGATCTGCAAAACAGAACTCTCTTGAGAAACTTTCATTTGTTTTAAATTCAAGAGTTATTTCAGGGATTTGTTGATGCGAAGCATGGGCCGATCATGCAAGGGACTCTCAAATGTGGCGAAGGTACTTGGGTTGGATTCTCGAGTTAGATCCTGAGTGATAAAGGGTTTGCTTATGCATCTCATACTAGTTGACCACCGTCACACGACTTTTGGGGACTCTGCCATAGAGGAAGACATTAATGAAACATGAAAAAAGTCAGATTTTGAGAGAGTATTTTGACAAATATTTCAACGTAGTTATATCATTTCTTATTACATGACAGAGTAAAATGGAAGGAAAACGTGATTATTCACTCAATAATTTAATTAACATTCCATGCGAGTACATGGTCTATATTTCTCCTGTCTAAAGAACTGGCTTGATCTGTGCAGGTATCATGGTGCTATAATAAATAAAGATGCATCTTGTTTTAGTCCATCGCAGAATTGGAACCACGAAATAGATTTCTAGGCATTTGAAGAGTAGACTGAAATTGACATCTACAATTGGTATAATGAAAAGGTGAAATGATATAATCTATTCCGTATGCTATATAAGCCAATAAAAGCAACTCAATAAATTTGGAGGTCAAAGATACAATGATCGACGAAAAAACGACAAAAATCCCTGAAAATAAAGCGGTTCCAAGACCAAACATTCCCCTTTCTGATAAGATTTCTAACAAGACAAAAGAACCAAATGTAAGAACTCAGAACACCCTTACATTCTCTTTTAGTACAAAATCCTTGACTGAAACAAAACTTTGTATATAAAGCATTGTCTGAATAGTATAATTAGGACCAGCTTCAACTTTTTGCAGAGTTTTGCTTTGGTTCCTGTAGAAAAACAAGCAATAGTCCTCCAATGTGAGCAATATATCACCATTTTCGAAAATTTTTAAAGCATAAACCATTTCACATGCAGGCCCTGCGAAATCTGGCACTTTGCTGATGATAAATTCTCTGATCCATGATTTCTTTACTCCATATTCCTTCATAACCCACATGACAATTTCAGAATCTGAAGTATTGTCACATAGGCATAGACAACCTGCGACGACTCCAAGGCTGTGAAGACTTCTTTTATGTCGTTCACCGGGAAAAGGAGGGGGGAATGGCTGAAATGACTCTTTTTCAACATCGAAACAAGAAATCAACTCAGAGCCCTCTAAATCTTGTATCACCCAATGAAGATTTCCATTGAAATATGGACCGACAGAACGACAACTATACCCAAATGGAACGTCCCCAATGTCTCGCCATGAGTTTGTACCAAGGGTGTATACATGGCAATCAGACCTTGAAATACTTAACCATGCCCCTGTTGTTGGATCACTGACACCCTCGTGGAAAATTCTTACAACCTTGTATTTTCCACTTACTGTGCTCAATCCAAACCCGTAAGTGACTTGACTGGGATTTTCAAAGGGCACGTCGAGTAATGGAAGGTCCACATACTCCCGGGTAATGGGATTGCATATGTATAGAGTATCGGATTCATGACCAAAATTGCGTAAACAAACCAAGCCATTGATGGAACCTACATGCCCCGTTACACCATGGCTGATGCCAAGTGATACTGACACCTCAAATTTGATCACTGGATCAGAGTGAATATCATGATGGTCAAATTCGAATAGCCTGCAAACTTCTCCGCCTCCTGGCTCATGTTGGAAGACACCAAGGCCAGGATTTGATTTGGAAAGATGCAACTTAGCAAACTCAGGAGTTGAGATTAGGCTGAGCCATTTCTTGCAAACAATCTTGCAGTTTATGGCAGTTAAGGCTGGAAGACTCGAGAGAATTTCGACAATAATATGAGAAGGTAGATTCATCAAGAATCCCTCATCGCTCATTTTAGGAATTTTCTTGATTGTCCCTCTAATGATAATGCCAATTTGCCTATCAGGACAACATATATAGACTCTGCATCTTTTGGTGAAGTATTATACTTGGCTAGGTCAAAGATGGAAAGCTGAGACTTTTCTCTTCTCAGCTTTTTCTTGGACTAGAAGAAACGGATATTATTATATTCAAACTTGGCTGCACGAAATGATTGATCCCTTAATAAAATAATAATAGTGTTACAGGAATTTAGGTGCCGCACTCTGTGTTTCAGTTTTGTGTTTTGAATTTTGAATTTATTTTGGGTTTATTAAAAATGTGTTTTTTTTGACGTTTTGAAAAATTGTTTCAAAAACATCCAAAACGCTTTTTTAAAATTTTGGTTTGGTTATAAGTGAAAGCACCCAAAACGATGGGTTCTTTGTAAATTTTTAACTAGTTTTCAAAAACGCATTTTTGAAAATAGGAAAGAGAACGCTTTTTCACTATTTTGAAAAATCGAAAACAGAAAACGGCTTGAAAATGATAAAGAGAATAAACCCTTAATTTCTGAAAAATCCACGTTGTCCTAATTTGCGTATCCCTGAAATTTGAGTCTTGAATTTTGCATTCAGTAGTAGTTAGCAAAATAAGTTTACTCTTTTACTTTAATGAAAGTGAACTGTAAAAGGCTCACAACTCGACCATGTGGCCAAACATTGTCACTGGATTATAGTGAAGATCATAGCGGTCGAGCTCCAGCTCGTCTTCATAATTGATGTATCCCACAGTTTTTCAGTGGTCAATTTGTGTTATTTGAGTTGAAAAATCAGAACTGTGGATCCTGTATTCCTGGACCATTGAAGCTTCTCACAGTACAGTATTTTGTTTTCACCAGAAACCAAGTCCAGATCCCTCCTGTGTATTAACTATTGGTCATTCTAGGTTACAGCTAGCTGTGTCCGAAATGTTAAACCATGAGAACATTGAACTAGTCCGACTCATTATGTAAGAAAAAATAGATAAAATCCTGATTTTTGTCTAGTATATGAGCACTCTATGATAGTAAAACATCACACAATATTATATATTAAAGAAATAATAGAAAGAACAAAGAGGAAATTAAGTGGAGTAGATTAGTAAACTGATACCTTTACACAGTGTCCTTAAAACAGATTCTGTTCTTCATCATAAGGAAACTCGGTGCTCAAGGAAATGACATGTTAATGGGTTTGTTATTTTTAGTGCATAAACGCCGACATATTTTTTTTTTAAAATTTTGGAAGCTTATTTAGATCCCTGTGCACTTATTTGGTAACGGAAAAATATAGCCCCCGGTGAGATTAAAATCAGAGTTTTAGTAGATTTTGATAGAAGTCGATAAAATATGTGGTTGGAAGTTGTGGGACATATCAAATACATTGTTAAAATTGATTTTTGACTTTGATTTAAATTAAAATCTAGCGAAAGAGGGGCTATAGTCTTAACGAGAGCGTCATCACGTGCATTGAGATTACTGCGCAGTTATTATTTCAAGTCATTGCTAAGGAGTATATTCACCAACATCCAATTGGTTATGAACCTATAAACAAAGCCTTAGGAAATAATTAAGGTCATTACAACTCATTACTCATAGTAATGTCTGAGGTATTAGTCATCCTTTCCCTGCCTATAAACTATTCTATAATAATTGTACCAATAATTATTCCGGATAAATTCAACCTCAGATCTAATTTTATATAACATGTATATGGAAATGCCTGTTTGCAATATTTTATATCCGTTTAGAATCCATAAATCTAGCAAAAAGCTCTTGTCGACGCCTTCTAGTGCTTGCTAAAAATCTGGCTTTGATCTTCTGGAGTTTAGCCACAGTTTCTTTCATGTTGATCCTTTCTTCAGGTGAATTGGTTGAACTTTCTGATAAGTGTATTTTCTACACTTATTCGAGGTTTGAAATTCTAAAATTTTGTTATCTTTTTGGCAAAATACGACCTAAATTATGTTTTATTGCATCTTGTAGGTAAAACTCAATATTTGATGAAGAATTGGAGAAAAGAATGCAAAAATAGCGAAAAATGGTCAAATCCAAAGTTCGAGGATCAAATTGAAAATACTAAATGGTAAAATCCAAAGTTCGAGGTTCAAATTGCAAATACTCAAGAAGATACTTTGAAAATTGTTAGGAGACAATTAGATGAAATTAGAATTCAAAAAGGAATAGAACATGATCAAAGTATTATCAAAATCAATTTCCAATCGCTCAAGATATATTCCAGATTTTTAGTCGAACATTGAGATCCCATTTTCGCATAGTAAACGTCCGAATTGGAGACATTCTATTTCAATCAAAGTTGTATCCCTTTTATAAATCTAGCAAAAAGCTCTTGTCAACGCCTTCTAGTGCTTGCTAAAAATCTGGCTTTGATCTTCTGGAGTTTAGCCACAGTTTCTTTCATGTTGATCCTTTCTTCAGGTGAATTGGTTGAACTTTCCACTCAAACCAAAAATAGACGAGACATATTGCTCCTTTGCTAAGAAATCCTCATCTTCTCTTTCAAGTAGCCCGGTGCCCAAAAACATCAGTTACTGAGTTTTCTTTTATTGCTTCACTCACCCATTGCTTCAAGCTCATTTCTTCACCGAACATTTCATCTGTCGGTTTCTTCCTTGCTATGATGCACCGACACGTGTGTCCGACACGATACTTGTTGGATATGCCGACACGCGATTTTTTAAAAAAAGTACAGGCATCGACACGTTGATTAAATTCTTAAAAATTCTTTATTTATATAGTACCCGACCGTAAACTTCAGAGCCTCGTGGGATTAGTCGAGTTGCGCGCAAGTTGGCCCGGATATCCATAATTATCAAATAAAAAAATATAGTATAAATTTAGTTTTATACTTGTTAATAATGTTGGGAAATATGTAGGAAATCTGGAACAATAAATAACTCCAAGGCACGAAAATCGTTATCTTTTAAGAGATGTTTCTCCCCTTTCCAAAAAAGTCACGACCGGGGTATGATAGAAAATCTCTCTCAGGATACAATGGAGGCGTTTGATTCAAATTGTGACTATTTGATCAAACCAAGAAACA